CCAACCCCCATCACCACCCACCCACCCTACACACCTTCACCCTCTTTACCCCCTTCTTTAACCACTACAACTCTGGCAGTGACCTCGTACTGTCCCCGGCAGATAAGGCCTCCGTGCGTGGTTATGGCAGGTTTTGTGTGTGTGTGTGTGTGTGTGTGTGTGTGTGTGTGTGTGTGTCGGAGCGAGGAAGTAAACCAGAAGTACAGGCTCTGGCAGAGCGCCATGTGAAAAGGGGAGGAAACTCCAGCGGGGAAAACAAAGTGTTGTTTGACCAAACGGCACATCTGTGCGCAGTGCCAAACTTACTCCGTTACTCCAGAGCGCTTGGCGGCTCCTGGCAGCCCGCCGCGGTGTGTGTGTGTGTGTGCGTGTGTGTGTGTGTGTGTGTGTGTGCGTGTGTGTGTGAGTTCTATTCATTTGTTGACACAACCATGCGAGTGCATTCCTGTTGTGTTCATTCAGATCTCACTTTGCCGTGTCGACTTTTGCCCCCCCACATGAACGAGTACCGCACAGATGTAGTACATATCAAAAACATATGCCGATCATTTTGGGCTTGAGCTACAATTATTCCATTTAAAAGGCTCAATTTGTAGTGATTATGTTAGATGATGTTTAAGTATTATTATATATATATATATATATATATATATATATATATATATATATATATATATATATATATATATATGTATGCTGGAAAAGCTTAACTGAAAAAGAGAAGAAACTAGTGAAACTGTCCCAAACTGCCGAACTTCACGCAAAATTGTGGCGTTTTTCCTTCTCTCTCTTTAATTAACTTTCGGTTGCCGGTGACTTTTGGTCTTCGCTGCTAGAAAGAATCCAGCTTTTCTGCCAACCTGTAGCTGCTGTCAGAACTGAACGCTACCCACAATGCACACGGGCACACATCCGTATTACAACCCCTCTGACCCCCTCCCGTTTGACAGGCGGGGCTCGGCTTGGCACGGTGAACGGCCGTGACTGTTGGCGGTCAGCACCACCAGCAGCCGGCACCGCCCCCCCCCCCCCCCCTCACCCAGCTTTGTTTTCAGGAAAGGATCAACCTGCAAACAGCAGCTCCGTGGTTGCTAGGTAACCACTGGCAGCCTGGATGACGATAGCCTGGTGGACGGCTCGTCCGGTCCCCCCCTCCTCACCCCCCCGTTGCTGTTTCGCCCTCCCGCTTCGCGTCCCTTTGCTTTTGCTTTCGGAGGGCCGATGGTAGGAAGAAAGTCCTCGCTCCCTTCCCCGCATAATGGAAACTCTGGCCTCATCTCCCGTTGCGCCGCTCTGCCGCGTCCTGCTGCCAGACTCTGACTAAGTGTTGCTGGCTCAGGAACCGCGGCCTCCAGCCCGGGCCGGGTTCAGGTTCCACAAGGATTTCTCTGCAGGAATGGTTAGAATTAAAACGCTGGTGACTGAAAGAGCCCGAGCAACAGCAGGAAAGCGCGGCGGTCTAATTTTGTTAGTGCTAGTAAGTAATCGAGTAGTTAAAAAAAAGGCTTTTTCACTGGAGACCTAGATTTCCAAAAATAATTTTAGTCGTGACCCGGTTCTCATTTTTGCGGTTCTGTGAGCTCATTGACAACGATGTACTCTAATGTACTGCTTTTATACTGCTAACTAAGCTTTTATTTTAAAAAAATCTAACGCTTTTAGAAAGTAGTGATTATTCCGTTTGACGTCGTCATGTGGTACTTTTACTCCATTACCAGAACACAGATATCCCAAAAGAATGATTCAGGGTCGAGAAGTTGAGGGCACACTAGGAAAGAACACAAAACAAAACTCAGAGCTATGGGTACTTGTGAGGGTTTAGTTGATTTTTTGAGGCATGCAATGACATTTTATTGGGAAGAAATGATTTACAGCCCATATCAGAAAGCAGGATGTGTGTGTGTGTTACATGCATTTATTCCTTTGGCAGGTAAACCCGCGACAACAGCTGCCCCTCTTAGTGAATATTTTTCCCAAATCGTCTCTCACACACACACACACACACACACATTTGCAGCCTGGAAACAGTTTAGCAACAAGCAGAGGAAGCGAGGACACAGAGGAAAGGAAATGAGGGGGATTAATTAATGGAGAAGTATAGAGCACTCTGCCTCCTGCGGTTCTGCAGTGGACCGCAGCGCTCCACAGCTCCCTGCCCTCAATGGCCACACTGGAAGACATTCTGTCAGTTTACCAACAGGGGGAGGGCGTGTCGCCTGTCGCGCCCCCCCCCCCCCCCGCTCCCCTTGCCCGAAGACATCATTTCCTCTCCGTCAAAATCAGCGAGAGTGAGAATCAATCTGCCACACGGGAGGACACACACACACACACACACACCTAGAAAGAGGGAAGGGAGCAAGCTGATGGGAAAAGGAGGAGAGGGAATGACAGTCGAGGTGAAGTGATGGCAGAGAAAGGAGGAGCGGTGATTACAGCTGAAGGAATGATGCGCAGACACGCAGCGCGACCACAGATGTCAGACGTTGCTGTTGCACGGTGGGGGGGGAGACGAGACCTGGGAGACGACGTGAGGAAATGTAACGGCGGCAGAGTCGATGGGGGGTGAGAGGCCGATAGGTCAGGGAGGCGGGAGAGAAACCCGCCGGATGAGTCACGGAGTCCGCCCCGTCTGACTCCATGCAGCCTGCCGGCCCGCTCCTCTCCCCTCACCCCTTCGCCCACGCTCTGTCTCACCCGCCCCCCCCCACGGCTGTAATCCAGTAACGGTGCAAGAAGGCGGCCGGTTGCACCGACTCACGCGAAGCAGGGGAAAGGTTGCAGGGGCTCTGGTAGTCGAGGACAGCAAACCTGCCATGCCTAAATCAATGCTTTTTATATCAGTTTGAATCCACTGGGTAATGGGATTGAGATTATGTTCGGGTTCTACTGGACATGTATGAACAAACCACAGGTCACATGCAGAGGTAGCTGGTGAAAGACTGGTGGAGACCAAAATAGAGGTCAAAGGAAAGTCAAGACTGGACTTTGTTTCGTAGAAATTTGTGTTGCTATAATCAGAATGGTCATGAGACGGGGGGGCCACGCCCTGAAGCGCTTCCTCGCACACCCTCACCTCAGTTTGGTGGGACGGACTCGCTCTTCACCGACCGGCGTCCTGTCAGTTGCCGATGCGGCACAGGCAGTCGAGGCGCCGCGCCCCCCCTTCTCCCAACGCCGAGTGGGCACGGAGGTGCTGTTGGAGGTTTGGGGTGGGTGAGGAGGAGGAGGGGGGGGAGGCCATCTGTCTGTCAGGAGAGAAGGCATCTCCTCTGCCCTCAGAGTTTGGTGAGGAGGAGGAGGAGGGAGGGGGGAGGGGGGTCGTTTCTCCGACCTCAACGCTCGCCGCAGATGCCACCGTTGCCAAAAATAAAGTGCATTAAAACTGGCAGCCGGAGCCTGTTAAGTGATCACCATGATAATATGGGCGGGGGGCACGAGGAGACGACACCTCTGCGCCCCCCCCCCTCCCCCCCTCATCTCTCCCCCCGAGAGGCTGCTGGACTGCTCGCTTTGCGACAATCTCCTTCACACCCTCCGCTCTTCAGGCGTTTATATGCTTCCCCTGTATCCATCCTCCTCTTCTTCCTCCCTTGGTGCCCCCCCCCCCCCCCTCCTGCCCGACGTGTTTGTTTTCGCCACCGTGTGTTTCAGCCGGTTTGCGCGCCGGCCACACGCGTAAATCTCCTAATCTCACCTCTATCTGCCCTAATCAGCCGCAGTAATCCCACGGGGCGTGACCCACCTCTCCCCTCCTTTCCCTTCCTCCACCCGTTCCCCTGATCGGAAGCAGGGGGGGGGGAGGGGTAGGTCGGACTTACCCGGACGCTGACCTTAGCTACGAACTAGAGGAGAGCGGCAAACCACAAGATAAGTGATGCCGTGAGACCCCCGCCTGCTCCCCAGAGGGATCTTCCTGGTCAGGGGGGCGGGGGTTCTTCCCGTCATGTCAGCTTGGACATAAAGGCCGAGAGCGGAGATCATGACCGGTGCGGCTGCGGTAGAGCGCCAGTACTCAGCGGGGAGCCGCTTTCCTCCTCGGGTCCATCCATCCGTCGGGTTTCGTGTGAGCAGCATGAGTAACGATGCCCCCCCCCCCCCTCCCCTCCCTCTCCACCCTCCCTACCATCCCACGTCCTCTTCAGCGGCGACATGTGAGAAGGTCGGCCCACCCGAGGGGGGAGGGGAGGCGAGTTGCAGGTGTGCGTCGGCCGGAGGCCTTGTCGCGGGCGTGTGGCGTTTTTTCTCCAAGGTTCTCCATTACGACGCTCGTTGGTAAAGGTGCAGCCCGCGACGTTTCTCTTCTCTTCTGCGGTTCCACTCAAACGTATGAGCCGCTCCCTTGAACCGAGAAATGAGAAGCGGGTGCGTTGTTAGCGTTCGGTTGTCGTGCGTGCACACCGGGGAGTATCCTCCTGTTGCTATGATATATGAACACGTGTCTGAGCGGGCGAAGCTGCTTCCTACCTGAGGCCGAGAGGATTCAAGTCAGCATCGATTTATTGAGCAGCGCTGGGTAGTTTGTAGGAGCGCTACTTCCTGCTGTATCCTAATCAGCACGTGTGCACACACACACACACACACAGTATACCGGAGGTTGTTAGCGTCTGAGTCTTTTTTCAAGAGAACAGGGATGAAGTCTGTTGAGGCAGAGTGCCGCTTGCTAAATTTAGTGTAATAATTGGACTTTGCACAGTGAGCGTTTCTGTGTGTGTGTCTTTTTTGCATTTTTCATTATGTATCTGTTTATATTTTACTGGTTCAATTATTGTTTCTTTTCTCGTCTTTTTGGGGCCTAATGAATATCTGTCACAACACAACTCTGCCATGTATCGAAAAGAAAGAATTAAGTCTGAAAGTAGAGTTCACCCATAATTCATATTTCATCATAGCCGCATGCAGATAGTTTCAGCAACAGCAGTGGGTTTGTTTTCATAGGGACCATTCATTTGTTATCTCGTACCTTGAAATTGACCTCTCCTCTCTCCTCCCTCCGTCTCCAGGTATTCGGCCCCAAATCATGAACGGGCCGATGCACCCGCGCCCCTTGGTGGCGCTGCTGGACGGGCGCGACTGCACCGTGGAGATGCCCATCCTGAAAGACTTGGCGACTGTCGCCTTCTGTGACGCGCAGTCCACGCAGGAGATACACGAGAAGGTGCGGAACGAGCGCTGCACGTCTCCCCTTCGCGGAAGCAGAGTCGTCCTTATGATCTGTTGGGATTTGAAGTTGTTCATTATGATTCCATGTCACCTTTTCGGTGTCGGCGCCATTGTCTCAATAGAGCGTCTTGTACGACGGGAATGCGGTATAATTGCGTCGGCTCGTAGTGGCTCTTTATTGCTTTTTATGCAGCACGGTGGCGGCGAAGAACAATATACGGCCGCGGGAGATGGGTATCGGCGAGCCGCTATCTCTCCCCCGTCTGCAGACGGAGTGGGAGTCGCTGCGTCTTTCCTCTCGCAGTTTTTTGCGAAAATGGAACATATTAAAAAACGAGGCATTTGCATAGAGATCAATTCAATCAAAGACCTCGGGCGGTGAGGAGAACGGGGGAGCCGGCGTCTTTTTGTTTGTTTTAACACTCCCTTATCAGGGAAAACATGATTGTAATGTTCACCTGCCAGCCTATTCAGCAGTTCGCAGTAATAACTTGCAGTCTAGATACCCGGAGGTGGGTGGCGTAGACTGAGAATGTCCAATCTCTTCTTACTGCGGCAGGGATGCGGAGATGCAGCGCTGATAATTCAGGGAGATTCAGTATGATGTGTTTTTTTCGGGCCAGACATCAGCTGCCAGACTCGTCTTCATCTGCACTAGCAAATGCAGGAAGTCATGGGACAGACGTGTCAAGGGCACAATAAGAAAGGGGCTTAAGGTTGCGGCGGGGTTCCCTGCCTAGTCATTTATCAGGTGATCGGGGCGCGATTGGAACATGCGGACGAGTTCTGATCAAGATCGAGTCACAATCCCTCTTGTTTTTGTCTCTACAATAAAAAAAAAGATGTGTGCTTTGCACATGAAGAATAACTTCCTTCTACTCACATGTCTGCTGAAAAGGTGAAATCAATCAACAAGGGATCATAGCTCACTCTGAATAGCATTCTCTTTACTGCTGTGTTTCGGTCCATTATCCTCCCCCCCCCCCCCCCCCTTAAGAAGGCCCCCAAGCTAGAAAGCAATATTTGGAATGTCGCCTCTCCCCCGCCAGGGGGAGAAAATCTGTCCCGGGGGGAATAACCGGGTGTCATCCCGGGCTACGTCTCCCCCACTCACGAGTGGGACGACTCCATAGGCGCGAAATATGCTCCCCAGTACGCCAGAGTCAAACACACTTACTCTACACACAGACTGTACAGTACACCAACCCCCGCCCCCCCCCCAATCGCAACCCCTCTGCTACAGTATACTGTTGTCTCTCAAGTGCACCCAGGGCAATTGGGTGTGTGAGGGTGGGGGGGGGGGACTCTCAGCCGTGTCAGAAAAGCGCAGGCATCTCATAAGGCAATAAGGCTTTTGTTACAGTAGTGAGGAGGGTTATGGATCGGATCAGAGTTTAAAGAGTTGGTTTTCCTCTAAAAAGACTCAGCGCTGGGGAGAGAAGAGGAGTGCTTGAATCCTCGGGTGTTTCAACCTTGAACTGGTACGATGACGGCCCGTCAGGGACACGGCTCTAATGAAAGCAGTATGGAAAATTTCAGAGATAATCTGCTAATCACACGAAAGCTAATGCAGTTTTGCTTCGAGGTGAATGCCGCGCTGTTATTTAGGCGCTGATGCTGAGGGGAATATGTTAAATCTCCCTTCAGAAATGAATCACCGGGTCGGGTCACCTTGTCCATGTGGAGCAGGAGAAGAGCAGCGCTTCACTGTGACGCCCTCCTCAAAGAGGCACTAATTGAGACTTTGTTTTAATCAATGCAAACACATTTTTCTACCAATGAGGGTAGAACGTTTGTTTTTGTTCTTTCAGCAGAAGATCTCAGAAAGAGGTTATGTGGTGGGAAAACAAGCCCCCTCGTGTGTGTATTACATGATTTAAGATAAAACAAGAAGTTCTTGGACAATTCTGCCGAAACAAATCTCAGTTTGAAAGCAGTTTCTTGCAGGGTTGGTGACATTTTTGCAAGTTTGGAGATTACACGTTGGGTTCTATAATCTGTGGCTTATAATACATCACAGACCCTCTTGTTTATTAACGACAAACTTGTATTCGACTAAAGGGGGTCAAATGTATCCTCTTCTTCAAATTTCTGCATTTACAGTAAAGAAACGCAGTTTAATACTAAGATCTGCCAGGCGTTTTTTGTTGTTGTTTTTATCGCTTTATGAATAGGTGACAGTTTGATGATGTGAACGGATCAAAAGGTCAAAGTAAGAGCCGCCATCCGTTGACCCATCACACGTTATCATCCCCTGTCACGCGAAGGGAGTCCCACCGATAAACGGAGTGCCGTGTTTCCGCAGGTGCTCAACGAAGCCGTGGGAGCCATGATGTACCACACCATCACCCTCACCAGGGAGGACCTGGAAAAGTTCAAAGCCCTACGGATCATCATACGCATCGGCAGCGGATACGACAACATCGACATCAAGGCGGCCGGAGAGCTGGGTACGAACTCCCCGCAATCACTGACGAGACGTGACGGTGATGGCGTCTGTCACTGTTGTATGTTGATCTTAGAGTGTGTGTGTTCTTCTGCGGTTCCTTCGTGGGGCGTTTGGTTTGATGGCTGTCTGCTTGAATTTGATGGTTTGTTTGTCCCTTAGTTACACATAATCCCTCGGGCCACCAGTCATCCGATTTAGCCCAATCTTGAGGGGACGGTGTGGCACGTCGAAGAAGCAGGCAGCGACCGGCAAAAACATCTGGCTCAGTAGAGGTCAAAACAAGATTGCGCGGCCGACATTATAGGGCGCAATCAAACCCAGAAATGCCGAGTCGGACGAACCGCGAGCCTGGATGTTCAAATGGAGAGGAGAGCGCAGTCTTCTCTCCTCTCCGAACCAACCACCCAGGCTCGTATCAGCAGGCCCGCGGCTCAAACAGCCCTCGCAGCTTGCAAAGCCGCCATTTTCCTGCCAACTCAAGATCCCGTGTCTAACTGCCACCCACTCACCGCCGGCGCTCTGCCTCGCAACGCGGGAGTCAAAAGCTATCGCGCCCCAGAGAAGGCGGCGCTGATATGGCGGCCTGTTCTCTGAGGGGGGGGGGCATTGATTGAGCGGGCTCTGGCTATTTTTCGCCGCCCAGAGACGGCTGAGCTGTTGCTGCGAGATGCAGAGTGGGATGAGGGCGTCGGAGGAGAGAGCGAGGGCAGGCTGAGGAGCTTAAGTGGCGATAATGGAGATCTGTGTGTTGCCGGAGGATAGGCCAGGTAATGCCAGGAGGTCAGAGGTTTTAATGCTCTCAAGGTCAACACAATTATGAGCAATCGACTGGAGGATAAAAACGTGCTTCATTGTGCATAAGTTTAAAGGAGGGCTTTTCAGCGACTCATCATATCTTTAATTACAACGTGATTATATTATCGTACATTTCTGTTACCCGTTACTCTTTCGAGGCATTTTGTAAATAAAGATAATCAAAGTAAGTCGCTTATAGTCAAATTTACTCATATCTATTGGAATAACACTCCTGCTGTTGATTGATTTTCACTGTTCTGCTTGTGTGTGTGTTTTCTTTAGGTATCGCGGTGTGTAACATTCCCTCTGCAGCTGTGGAGGAGACGGCGGACTCCACCCTGTGCCACGTCCTCAACCTCTACCGGCGAAACACCTGGCTCTACCAGGCTCTCCGCGAGGGCACGCGGGTCCAGAGCGTGGAACAGATCCGCGAGGTGGCGTCCGGCGCCGCCCGCATCCGTGGCGAAACCCTGGGCCTCATCGGCTTCGGTTAGTATCATTTCTTTTTCCCCCCCATTGTTTACTTTTTTACCTTTCATCTTATTTCTGTGGTGTGTGTTTCCCCCCCGTGCTCTGCGTCCTCATATCCTCCCACGGCTCAGTGTGCCTTCTGCGTTCCCGCCATGATAAGGTTATTTTGCTGCCTCTGCCGTGCCATTATTATCTCAAGGTTGTGCGTTGCGCCTCCCTTCGGGCCGGCTTCCGTTTCTCTGCCACACTGTGCTCTCACGCCGCTGCTCTAATGCTCCCCGTTATATCCCCATTATTCTCTCTTCTCCTCCTTTCCACTCTTCCTCTCTGTCCCCGCGGCCCCTCGACACCTCGCCCTGCCATAATCGGGCCCCTTATGGTACTCCGCGCCTGTTTTAAAGCCAATTGTCTGTGTGTGTATGTGTGTGTGTGTGTGTGTGCAGCATTCTACCATCTCTCAACATTAGTGGGCTCACGGATGCTTTGTCTTCTCCAAAACCTTTCCAGAGCGCCACGTTATCTCAGTGCCCACATACAGTCCCCCCCACCAACACACACACACACACACACCTCACCCCCCTACATGTCCCCCCACAGCCTCCTAGACTTACAGACCCAAACAGCAGCTCCTGGCTCCACGAATGCTCCACCCCCCCCCCCCTCCTCCCCTCCTCCCCCATCCATCTCCTCCTCAGCGAACCCTCCCACCTCCAGCCTCCTCTCGCGGTCCTTCTGGCTCGAGTCGTCTCCAAAACAATGTCCCATTGTCAGCGGGAGGTTGGGGACAAGCGAAGGCCTCCTGGTGTTTTGTTTTGGTGGACTCGGGCGCATTCAGCCAGCGGCACGAGTCTGCAGGCTGCAAACACGCGGAATGAAAAAGACACTGAAAGGCAGCGAAGACTCGGGAGTACGTCAAGCAGCAGCCGCGCCGATGTTTAGGGCTTTAAAATAAGTGTTGTGCTGCTGCAGAATTCATTCATTTCCAATGATTGTTCCATGTGTTAGCTTCTTGCTATCAATAAGATTAACTCTCATAGCGAGATGGAAGTCCACTTTTCCGACATATCACGTGTCGTGTATATGGACAATATTATGATTTGTTTCATGTTTCTGATATCAAGCCCCTCGCCAAACTCTTATTCCTGCATAGTTAGGAACTTCACCAAAATATATGTGGATATATATTTTTGTGTGGCAGAACCTCTGCCAGTGTATTCTGCCTCTTAGAGCCGGTGATCGGTGGGGGAAGAGAGGAAATAAAAGAGTCACGCTGTTTTTGATTCTCCGGAGCTCCGCAGGAAATGAAAGGTCGACACAAAAACACTCGTGGTTATAGTTTCTAGTGCTACAGAAGATTGTTGTTTATATGAGATATTTGTAGATAACATAAGATAATCCCTTATTAGTCCGCAGCGGAAACGTAGTAAAAACACAATCAAAACAGATTAACAAGCAGTATTAAAATAACAAACGAGAATCCACAATAACCGAAATTAAATATTATACGAAGAGACAGAACTATTAGATCACTAAACACTAGACTCTGTCATAAATCCCTCCAATTCAAAGGGATGCCGTTTCCATCTGAATCTGCCACTTTATTCCAATTGTGCATCGACCACACCGACGGAACGTTGCTGAAGCCTCGCCGGCCTCATCAAATCAAAGACGCCGTCTTCTCTTTCAGACTAACTGGAAAACTCGTCTCCATCCCGCTGCCGTCTGCACCTCCAACCGGCCGCTGAATGCAACAAGTTCACACTTTTTAGAGAAATTATATTGTGGGAAATATTGGAAATAAAGCATTTCGAAGCAGAAGTACACAGCGCTTGTTGAAAAGAAATTGCATGCACCAAAAAAAGATGGAGCACTTGGGGGAAGGTGGATTTATACAGCAATCAGAAATGTGATTGTAACCCCCATCACCACAATGGAGCAGAACGGTCCAAGTGATTACTTAAGTATTATCAGGAGTCTCTGTGCAACGTTGGCTCAGATTGAAAGGGAGAGAAAAAAAGGACAAAGCCTCAGAGACATAATGCTCCATCACATAAGGGGGAACTTTTGGTATTGATATTTTATTTTGAGGACCTCATCGATCTGCGGCTGCTGAGGAGGAGCAGAGGCACATGGTGAGAGACAGGAAGCGCCTTATGTGCCACTGATTCCTTGTCTCCACCAGTCACCCGGCCTCTTCTCCATCACGGCTCCACCACTTGTCCATCGGTAACCGTTCTCCCTTCGATAACAGCAAATCTCTCGTAGACATCAATAAAAACCTCTTAACGTCCTAAGTGAATGGAATTGCTTAAAAATAGCTTCATTGGTTGGATTTTATGTTCACGTGTGTTTAATGGTGTCTTGGTGTCTTTATTAGAACTCTTTCGTGCTCCGTGTGCATTCAGCAGGACTGACGTTTAATGCGTTTACGGACCTTTATTTCCTGTTTATTTTCTCACTGATTCTCAAAGACGGTTCCTGGACTTCGAGGATTTTATTTGACATTAAAAAGATAATATATTTTGCGTCAATGCATGCAGATGTGCAGGAGTTGTTACATCCAACACACGTGCATAATATCTTTATACTAGATAATAACATTAACCGGACACTTGAATTGAACCGTGTGTTAGACTGCACATAAATAAACATGAACCTCTTCCCTCCCCCGTGTGTGTGTGCGTGTGTCCGCAGGTCGTTCGGGCCAGGCCGTGGCGGTGCGGGCCAAGGTCTTCGGCTTCAACGTCATCTTCTACGACCCGTACCTGCAGGACGGCCTGGAGCGCTCGCTGGGCGTCCAGCGCGTCTACACCCTGCAGGACCTGCTCTACCAGAGCGACTGCGTCTCCCTGCACTGCAACCTGAACGAACACAACCACCACCTCATCAACGACTTCACCATCAAACAGGTGCGTGGGCGCACACACACACACACGTGCACAGGCACACGCACGCCAAAACAGCTGTGATGCGGCCCGCGCTTCATGCAGCGAGCAGAGCCGCCGGCGTATTTTGGCTCTTGTCAGCCCGCAGGCTGTCCTTGGGGTGGAGGGGGGGACAGCGGGATGGGGGGAGGAGAACGACAGTGGCGGCGGCCTTCCTGCCTGCACATTCCCTGCTCTCTTTATCTTGAGCTCCACCAAAAGCTGGACACAAATTCATTCCTTTGCTCTGTCGAATGCAATTAGCGGCGGCCCACGGTTACGGCAGATATATCGCAGCGGGGGGGGGCGCTCTCTCTCAATTGATAGTTGCGTTGCCTGGGGCGACACCTGCAGGGCAGCTGGGGAGCTACACCCACGGGCCCCCCGAAGAGGAATCCCTTCCATCGGTGGGTGGGGGGTGTAATGGCCTAACCCAGTTAACTGCATGTTTTTTTCAGAGCTCAGTGTTTTGCAATGAAAGGACACTTCCCTTTTTTTGCCCCCCCCCCCCCCGACCAAAAACCCACGGCAGTCGCTCTCAGCCCGTGTGTGTCAAAACCCAGCGAGGCCTAATAAAAGACCTGCCTGCCAGCGGAAAGCCTTTTCATGCCCCTGCATTTCAGTTTCTGTCAAGATTAAGGGATTACTTTCTTCTGAGCATAGTCATTTGATTTTTTCTTCTCCTTTTTATAGTTTGTGTTGTGCCTTTTTTTTCTCCCCTAAAAGCCACACGGGGGTTGGTGGCGCTGCCTCATCTTTCCAGCTCAACCCTCATCCCTCATTTCATCTCCTGGTTTTGGGATAAAGATGCTCTTTATCCCACCATCTGTCAGTGTTTCCGTCTGTCTGCTGGGTGGCTCAGGTGTCAGGCGCAACAAAGGTGTCACAGATGTGTTTTGGAATTCTCCGTCTCTCTGCCGCGTAATATTGTTTCGGGGCCCTCGGATGCCTTCATCCAATCCGGATTTACAGTTTACACGCCGCTTCAGATGAAACCAATTCATCCGACCGTCGTGCTGACAGACTCACGTCAACACCCAAATCTGGCCATTTGCCTGTGAATAACTGAGTTGTTTTTATTTCTCTGCAATAGCTGGGCTCAAAATGACATTTTTTTCGGGTTGTCCACCCGTCTGTCCGTCTGTCCCTCGGACCAGCCGCCTAATGAGCTGGTTAAAGTTTGGTGGTCGGAGCTCAAGGTGGCTGTGACCTCACGTCTGTCACAGTCAAGAGAGCGCATCGCCGCCGGGATATCTTTCATTATATCTGCAAAAACATCAGCTTGGACTCAAAGATGATCCGATTACATTGTCAGCGGTCAAAGGTCAAGGCCACTGGACTAAGCAATGCTGGTAGTAAAATGAAATAATGGGGTGATGACATGAGCGACCTTGAGTTGGTAATCCTAACACCTTGTTTGTTTGACCGTGTGTCTGTGTGTGTGTGTGTGTTGTGCACAACAGATGCGTCAGGGCGCGTTCCTGGTCAACACCGCGCGGGGGGGCCTGGTGGACGAAAAGGCCCTGGCCCAGGCTTTGAAGGAGGGCAGGATACGCGGTGCCGCCTTGGACGTTCATGAGACGGAGCCCTTCACGTGAGTATACGCACACACACACACACACACACACACACACACACACACACACACACACACACACACACACACACACACTCACACAGCCCTCTCAATAGGCCGACGGATGAACGCCTGGCTCACAGAGACGGTTGAGACGAGGTAACAGAAGGAAGGGAAGGAGAAGGCAGCAAGTTACACGCAGTCAGAGACGGAGAACCTTAGACGGCCGTGAGACACGCGGACGGACACACGACCGCTTCAAGACAAACTGAAGTTAATGGAACTCGGGAGACGGAGGGAGCTCCTTTTATTCGCAATAGAGCAGGCGAGACTGATTCAGAGCGTAACGTAAATAAGTGAACTATAACGGATGGAATGAGGGGGATCCTGTGGCGATCTCTAAGCCCGCCTCCCGGCCTCACTCCTGGTGTCATTCACACGAAAGGAAAAAGGGAGAAAAGGCCACGGCGCTCTGGCTCCAGACCCACGAGCTCCAAGACGTCCATTGTTCAGGGCTAATTTCTAAATGAGAAAATGCTTCTTGGAAAAAAGTTGCTGCTGGTGATTATTGTTCACAGTTAGGAACTCGTGCTCCGCCCACCCATCCCGCGGGACACTCAAACCGATTGGGGGCGCATTTGAGGCTTTACACAACCATGCACACGCACACAGACCCAGGCCTTACAGAAATAAAGGGGAAGCCGGGGGGGGGGGGGGGCGTGATCTGTCTCTCAGTGCCACTTGACAGCCCACGGATGAAGAAGGAGGAAGACTGTGTCATGGGTGAATACCGAGACGTATTTTAATTTTGACAATTGGGCTTTATTTGACAGAATCCCTCTCTCTGCCACCTGCCAATCCTCACAGAATGTTAACGTTAAAGACAACCCAAAACAAATTGCTTTTTAGATTTCTTTTTTTTCTTCTTCTTTTTTTTACAGAAAACTTCAGTTAGTCACAGAGGAATTAGTTGAAGTTATTTCTGCCTCATTAAAACAAATCCAGAATCCATGAACATACAAATATTTTATTCCATAAGGCACCTGGAAGCTTTCCCTCTTCAGGAGATGAAACATCCAAATAAAGTGACGATAAGCAGCAAATAAAATAATAAATAAAAGTAGTAGAGAGGAAGTTTGGTCATTTAGAAGAAAACGTTCATAGTTCACAAAGATAAGAAGAGCACAGCTCTTGTAATCCTTTCTCCCGTGTTTAATAATTTGTTTTATTCCTTTCCCCTCATTTTTCTTACTCGCTGTGTGTGTGTGTGTGTGTGTGTGTGTGTGTCTCACAGTTTTGCCCAGGGTCCGCTGAAAGACGCTCCCAACCTGATCTGCACCCCGCACACGGCCTGGTACAGCGAGCAGGCCTCTCTGGAGATGAGGGAGGCCGCCGCCACCGAGATCCGGAGAGCCGTCACCGGTACGCCGCCCCGTCCACTAATCCAAAACATCTGTTCCTGCCACCGCGCCAACATCTGCACCAGCACACTGCTAAACATGTGTGTGTGTGTGTGTGTGTGTGTGTGTGTGTGTGTGTTTGCCCCCCCGACACGACAGGCCGCATCCCCGACAGCCTAAGAAACTGCGTCAACAAGGAGTTCTTTGTCACCACGGCGCCGTGGGCCGTCATGGATCAACCGGGCGTCCACCACGAGCTCAACGGCGCCGCCTACAGGTAAACCCCGAACGCGCAAATTAAAAAATTAAAAAAAAAAAGGCTGCCCTGCATTATCTCAGGAATGTTTTGTCCCTGTTCTCTGTGGTAGTCCAATGGTCATTCTTTGAGCTGTGGGCTCTTCCTGAACTCAGCATGTCCGCCTCCGTGTGTTTCTCTCACGCAGCCAAGTGAGCCAAACTCTTCCTGGCATAACAACCGGTGTCCCCCAAGACAAAATTATTGCCTAGATCAGGAGCAGGTAAATACGACCACCCGGGACGACGAGCCTCGCGTCTGCGGGTCCCCGGATAAGACCCTCTCTCTCCCCCCCTTCTCCCCCGAGCTGGCGTCGTGTGTGTCCCCCCCCCCTCTATGCCTCCTCAGCACTCCTCCCCCCTCCCCGTTCGTAGCGAATGTGGGTTTTTTCTGAGGGTCTCCATGAGCATGACACAAATCCTTTCCCCGGATGGAGTCATGCTTTTGGGAGTTCCTTCTTGTGGGATTTTGGGACCCCCCCCCCCACACACACACACACTTCCCCCTTTTTGGTTGAATGGAGAACCTCAGGCTCAGAGTGTGAATTGAATTACTGAACTGATTTTACAGTAATGTACTGAAACATTTGGACTTTCATGACAAACTGTACTGTGAAAATTATAAATCACTCTTTACACACAATACGATGACTATAACACACTATCACCTTTAAACATTATAAATAATACAATACTGACTTTTTAATCATGTACTCATGGGAGTGTTTTCAACATGCTCTACTATGATTTTTGTCCAAAATACTGTACTAAGACATTCTTTGACATGCTCTCCTATGGCTTCTTTAGGACTTTCCCTCCATATATGTGAACATATTTCTTATTGGACGTTTTAATGGGGTGTTTTCTACATACTACATGCCAAACAATGACTTTTTATAACACACTAATATAGTTTTTTATACTTTTAATGATATTTTTTCAACACACAATAATATATATTTATTCCATCTGTGGTGGGAAAGAGCTATATTACATACATGACCTTTTAACCGCTTTTTTTCAACATGCTATGACTTGTTTTCGACATGTTACACTATGACTTAGTAACCCTAAGAGGCCCTTTGGGAGCCACACTGCCCCGTGACACTAACTCTGACCCCTCCCCTTCCCCAGATACCCCCCGGGCGTAGTCGGAGTGGCTCCAGGGGGCATCCCCGGGGCGTTAGAGGGCATGGTGCCAGGTGGGCTGCCCATCGCCCACACCCTGCCCTCTGGTACACACCCCTCCCAGGCCCCGTCGCCCAACCCAGCCCTCCAAACACGGCGAGACCAGAGAGCACCTGACCGAGCAATAGCAGCAGAAGGGATACGAACGGCGAGCCCTCGTCCGACGCGTCGACTTTCACAACCGACCGACCAACTGGGACCAAGAGACAGCGAGACGACACGAGCGGACTGTCACCGAACTGAGGAAGCGTGCCGGGGAATTTCTACTTTTAATGTTTTAGTTTCTACTCTCTTGTCTCTCTGGGTTCAGTACCGACTTTACTCTTTGATGATGATGATGATGATGATGGTGTTTGGGTTTTTTTCCTCCGGTGACACGCGTATGATTGTGGACACAAAGTCGAGTGGTTTTTGTCTCTTTTTTTTTCCAGCGTCCCCGATGAGACTCTTGTCCCGCCTCCCGTACACCTCAGAGCTCATGGGAGAAGCGTAGGCGCACATCTCGACACACCGATGGGCGAACGAGAGGGGAAAAAAGACTTTGGCATCATGTGCAACTGGACCTTAACCCCCCTCCTCCCAAACTTCACCCTGACCCTCCCCTCCACCCAGCTCCTTCCCTCCTTGTGTAACTAATGTGTGTTGTTTAGACCCCCTCATTATGCCACAGAAGAGAAATATTTTTTTTTCTTTCTTTCAATCTTCTGTGTGAATGACTAAAAATGGATTGCTATATATATTTATCACTCGTCAGACAAAAAAAAAGATTGCTCATCCGTTCTAGTAATCTAATGTGAGTTTTGGCCCTTTCCTGGCAATAACACACATGACAGCTGTTGCAGTTGTAGGATTCCACCACATGAGGGCACTTGGGGGGTGGGGGGGGGGGTCCTCGTTGAGACCAATAAATGTTGTGCGAATCTTTTTTTTAAGCTTTTAACGTTCACTTCACATAACATTTGATTGTTGAAGTTTGACATTAAATGGATTGCGATGAAGTATTTTACCTTTTCTCTTTTAGTCAAGAGCTATTTGGTAACGTGTCAGTGTGACTGAGCTCTGAAGGAGGAAGCCTTTTTTTCTCTTTTTTCGGAATCATAAGTTTCTGATCGAAACCCGAAATCAAACCAAGTGGCAGCAGCGCACGGAATGTGACCTCCCCCTCTTCTCTCAGCACATTTCACACTGAAGACAGGAAAGGGTTAAAGCAAACTTACTTTCATTAATGACTCAGGAAAACCTTTTTGCAGATATTGTTTATTCCCAAATTCTGTTTTTGAGGAACAAAAAAAAAAAGATAAGACTAATGTGTTTAGTCTGGATATTCTCTCTCCTCCCTCATCCTCTCCATTGTGGTATTTTTATATACAAGGCGCATCCCACGTTTTTGGTGTTTAAAAAGAGTTTTGAAGAGTCCTGTTAGATTTGTATTGCCTAGTTAAATGTTCCTATAACCATAGTCCCACGTGGTCCACCCTCTTCTCTCCTTATTCTTTTTGTTCTATTGAAGGCCAGGTTCTTTGGGGCGTCTCGTACTCTGTAAGAGCAATAGCAGAAACTCCTTAGTGTCCCAACAATAGCAGAAGAGGCAGCCAGCAGTATGGTTTTTTTGTTTTTAGTGTGAGTATTTGTATTTGTTTCTTGTACAAGGTGAACATTTAGCATTCAGTGCAGTTCAAATAAAAGATATGATTCGGAGAACCAGCGGTCTGCGCCGGCATGATTTCTTCACACTTCTTTGTCTTGTATGGTTTTATTAGCAGAGCAGCTCCTGATGAGATACATTCTTTCAACGTAATCTTACATGATCTGGGTCGTCAATGTTGTTTTATCTTTTGTCACAGTGGAAGGTGGGGGGGCACCAAAGTACAAGCAAGTCCTTCCAACAGAAAATGAAATGAATATTACATTTTAGTAGAGTTGTGTGTTGATGAGGGTGACGGCAGAAAAACGAACGAGGGATTTCCTTGGGAAAAAACCCCCAAACAAACACTTTGTCTCGCTCCGGCTTCCAATTTTGCACTTCAGAGGATGTGGATTATATTAAAGATGCTGTGTGACAAACAGGGGAAACAAATTTACCCAGTGTTTTCATACATGGTAATTTAGGCTGTGGCAAGAAAAACAAAAACAAATCCATTCTCAAGTCAAATCCAAACAGCAGAAAAAGGAGACATTTCAAAACAAATACGAATGGCAACAAAAGGGAAACAAGGGAGTCAAATTTAATATGAATGCACTCTTTTTCCCCACCAGCGCTGCCACCACCCATTCGATTAGGACATCCGGCTTCAAATCACACGTAAAATGTCAGTAAACTTGTACGCGACCCCCCCCCTCTCACAGACTGTAGGTATCATCTGTGCAAAATAAAATACTTCAAGACTGAACGGAGCCAACAACACACAGATTAAACGGGGCAAGAACAAAAGGAATCGCCTCTGCGCGCCAAATCTACTACATAAATAAATAAATCCAAACATCAGAAGGGTCTGCAGGGGGATCGACAATCTGAAAAACGGGTGCTCTTTCAACACACACACGCACGCACGCGCACAGTTTTAAGCAACATTTCTGTCAGGCAATTCTGTAAATTAAAGTTCTCATCTAGTGCAGCTTTGAGAGTCCTTAAATACAGAATATTTTCCTATACGTTTTAATATTTTCCAACAGGTCAAGATAATTACTTTGATAACAAAATAAGGAATACAGGAGGGGAAGTAAAGAGGACATGATGTGCTTTCATAGGAGCAGTATTCAGGACTCGGTTTGTTGTTGCTGGTATCTTTTTTTTTTTTCCTATCACGGAGCTCACACAACCCATGCAGTATTACACGTATTAAAGATTTAAGTTACATTTTGGAAGGGAAAAAAGAAAGAAAATACAGACAGTAAGGTTCCCTCAGAGCCTTCGGTGTCCAGTCTCAAACTCAGGAGCTCGGTCTTCTCCACCTCGTCGCCCTCACTCGTCTTCGTCCTCCTCCTCCTCGCCGTCGGACAGAGAGGCACAGGGGCGGATCTGGCGGTATCGGTCCAACCACTTCTCCACCATCTGGGTGACGAGTGGGTGGTTGCGGCGCCGAGAGCTCTTCTGCATCGCCGCCAGCATGCCTCCTTCTGTCACGCAGCAGTCCAGCCATTCCCTCAGCAGCTTCTCCTGCTGCTCCTCGTTGCCCATCTGAGTCGCCGACAAAACACACAGTTACTCCGTGGGGAATAATGAAGATGACAAACATCCACTCAACACTCTGGAAGCAACTTTGTGGTAACTTGGCACCGTGTGCTGTACCTAAAGCTCCTGGTTATCTCTCAGAATTTACGTCCTTGAAGTGTGTACTATAAAAAGGGGGCTAACTGATGGGAAAGTATTTATATCTTTATACATGTGTAATAGTGGCTCAAATTCGGGGAGTTCCTTTTAGTAATACGGTTTAGAAGCCTTCTTGTTTCGATATTAAACATTAGAGACAAATGCAAAAGAGCAATAGCTCATATTTTTCGGTGGTACCTCTTGCGCAGACAGGAAGTGAATGTGCAGCAACTTCCTCTCGCTGTCGACCAGCGGCAAGAAAGTCACCGTTACGTCATCGTCTGTATTGAGGTTGGCGCCAGCCCCGCGATTGTCGTAGCCGTCGTTCTCCATGGCGACCAGGGCCGAGAAGTGGCCCCGCGTGTAGCCCAGCGCGATGGGGCTCTTCCAGCAGAAACTCTGCTCCCATAACAGAGGCAAGTACACACCTGCACGCAAACACACACAAAGAGAGTAAGAACAGCTGGGAGCACTGCATGCAGTGTGTGTGTAAATTGAAGAAAAGAATGTTATACTATAGATATGTCATCATTTTCAAAACAAATGTCAAAGTATCTCTTTTTGTTGATTTTTTAAAATCATAAAGTCACTTTACCTTGAAAACGAGTGTATCCTAACGTTTCCCCACGGAAACTTTTGTAGTACTTCACTCCGTAGACTATGATCGGTCTGCGAAGAATGTGTGCGAGAACAAAAATGTGCGTCTGCTCCAGGCTGGCCCCGGGCTGAGGGGGAGACAAACACGTCTTACAACTGCCCTGGAATTGTACAGTCGATATTTTTGAATGTCCTGTCCTATTGATGGACGGTGACCTTGAGCGGAGGGAAAGTACCTGGCTGGCCAGAGACAGGATGAAGGCCCAGTCCTCCTGCCACTGCTCCTCTCTCAGGGAGAAATGCAGACCGAAACTCTGTGAGTACCACGACTCCCACTCCTTCCAGCGCGTGTAGAACCTAAAAGGAAAGTGGAATGCGATTCAAGTGAACTTGATTTATAGTGTCGCCGTGGTTTTACACACCAATGTGAATATGCAAAGAATAACCATATTAAAGAGATTAGAGGATGTGAGAGAAAACACCTTTTCTATGTAATAAACAAAGCCATACGCACACACTGCAATGCACGTTGAAAGAAGCACCTCTCTTCATATTCTTACATATGTGTGACCTTCTGTATTTGACTGTGTGAGGGAGGCATTTAAATATCTTGAGGAAATACTGACCCAAATTAACAAAAGCTCTTGATTGCCAGAAGGGCGTGATCACATCAGCAGCAATCAACGCTGAGCTCGGATGTGAGTATTAGTTCGGTCATTTCCTAAATGACAAAGTGTCGTGTAGGTGTATAAAACAGCGGTGAGGTCTATGTGAGGATATACAAGTAACACTTTACAGCACCGATCAGGAAACGCTTCTCAGTGGCCGGGCGACCTACCAATGGGAGCAGTCATGCAGGCTGTCGTGGAGCGTCTTGCGGAGGACGGAGTCCTTGTCGTAGATGCCCCAGGTGGCCTGCAGGACAGAGTCCAGCAGACAGTCTCCGGCCGTGCGGTTCCACAAGGCATACAGGCGACTGTCCAAGCGCGTGCCCAGCTCCAGAGACCAGTTGATGACGGGAGATTCCTCTTCCAACTCTGTACACAGACAGAGAGAGAGGGGGGGTGTGAGTGTGGGAGGGAGTGTGGGGGGGGACGTGCTCTGAGAGATGAGGGCAGTGGTCATGTAGGAATGCTGGTGTATACAAATACAAAACATTCTGTTTGTGTCCTTAGGAGACCTTCTAAAAAAGGCACAAGATGCATCAGTACCTCAAAAGAAGGACATTTAAAATCCTAATAGCTGCACGTAAAAAGGTCACGGAGGAGGTTCAATTCAACCCACCAACACTACTGAAGTGCAAGGAGCCTGCAGAGGAAATATCACTGAATCTCTAAGGACTGAAGCTGGAAGCCACCAGCA